CAGCAGGACCTTCTGGGTGCAGCCCATATGAAATGACATGGAAGAAAGAAAGTGTTTGCCTTTTATGCTTACTGGTGTTCACTGTTGCTGATGAGTTCATCCGTCCTATTGCTGCCTCTTCCAATTCTTTAATTGATACAGAACCAGCATCTTTGGGCTACCAATGTGGACTGAAGACCCTGTTGATCCTTTGCTGGTTTTTGGAACCAGCTACTTCAGGCTTCCCAGTGTGGAATGAAGATCAACATCTTTTCATGAATCCTCTGGGCCTTCAGTGTCATAGTGGCACTGTAGAGACATCCAGTCACATGGACTGAGACACTACTGGGTTTTTTTTTTTTTTTTACTCTACTGTGAAACAGTCACTGTTGGACTACACAGATCAGACTGTGTAAGCCATTTCAATAAATACCCATTTAGAATTATTTATTTTATTTAGATTATAATGTAGTTACATCATTCCCCCTCTAAACCCTTCCATACACCACTCATTGCTTTCTTTCAAATTCATGACCTCTTTTTTCATTACATACATATATGTATACACATGCATGTTCCTAAATACATAAATACAAACCCCTCATTTCATATGTTACTTCTATGCATATTTTCAGGACTGACCATTTGGTGCTGGATAACTAATTGGTGTACTCTTTCCTGGAGAAGACTATTTCATCATTCCTTAGCTGCCTGCAGTTCTTTGTTTAGGGATGAGATCTTGTAGGCTTTCTCCTGTTCACATTAGCATGTTTACTGGTAGTGTCCTTGTTTCAGCTTAGGTTTAGGCAGTAATATTGGTAACATTTGGAACTGAAGCATAGGCAATGGAGGAGTGCTGCTTAATGGCTTACTTTCAAGCTTATGTTCAGAGTTACATTTTTAATACCTCTCAGGCCCACCTTCCCAGGAGTAGCTCTACCCACAGGGAGATGGGCCCTGTCATGTCACTCAACAATCAAGAAAATGCTGCACAGGCATGACTACAGGCCAATTTGGTGGAGGCATTTCCTCATCTGAGGTCCCCTCCTCCAAGTGACTCTTACTAGTGTCTAGTTGACAAAAAGTAACCAACATAAGCATGTTATATTTTCATCATATTCACTCTCTCAGCACCTTCTCTTGTCCTGTTCCCACTCCTGCTAATCCTCCTCCCAACTAGTCCCCTCTTCTAATTCCATGTCTGTTTGTGTGTGTCACCTAGTAAATTTTATTACCATTGCTTACAGGATTATTGCTGGAACATGAACACCTTAAGAGGCCATATTACTGAAGACAATGTCTCCCTCTCCCCTAACAACCATAAAGTGTCAATAGATCCTAAGGCAGGCATGGGACTTCATGAGTCCCTATTGCTTCTATGATGGGCAGAGTCTAGTCCATATAATCCTAGGTGCTATGAGTTCAAGAGTGCAACCAAACGAACAACCATGCATGCAGAAGACCTAGACTCCCTGCTCAGATGTAGCCCATAGTAAGTTCAGTCTTCATGTGGGTTCCCTAATAAGGGGGGAAGGGCTGTCTCTGACATGAACTCAGTGGGTGGCTCTCTGATCACCTCCCCCAAGGGGGTGCAGCCTTGCCAGACCACAGAGGAAGAGGACCCAGGCAGCACTGATGAGACCTGATAAGCTATGAGCAGACGGCAGAGGAAGAAAACTGCCCCTTTCAGTGGACTAGGTGAAGAGGATAGGGGGAAGAGGGAGAAAGGGTGAGACTGAGAGTTGAGGGAGGGCCTTCAGTTGAGATATAAAATGAATTAATTGTACAAAAAATATTTTTTAAAAAGTGCAACAACTATGTTATGCCTAGAATACAGTGTCCTATAACATCCTACCCCTTCCTCTAGTTTTTATATTCTTTCTGCTCCATCTCCTGTGGTGTTTCTTGAGCCTTGAAGGCAGTAGTACTTTTTAAAATTATTTTAAATGTGTATGTGTCTGTGTGTCTGTGTGTGTGAGAGAGATGTGTGCAGGTTCCCATAGAGGCTAGTGGTGTCAAATCCCTGAGAGCTGGAGTTTAGCCACTTGACCACCTAACATGGACGCTTACAACTGAAATCAAATCCTCTGCAAGAGGAACAAGCACTCTTAACTGTCAAGCCCAATATTTTTTATAGATCTTATACCTCTCTAGTACCCAATATCTTTATAGACGCTATACCTCTCACACCAAGAAATTTCTGAGCATTTATTATTTCAAAAATATTAATAAACTCAATGATTACACACACCTATATTGCCAGCACATGGGAGTTAGAGGCATGAAGATCGGGAACTCAAGGCCAGCCTAGGCTACACATTTGAGTACAAGGCCAGCCTGGGATACATGAGATCCTGTCTCAAAAAACAAGAGTATTAATAAATAAAGCTTTATAGTATGCAACACTCTGAAACTGACTTTTGTTCAACACAATACTTTGTGTTCCATCCAAGTTGTTGTATATATCAATCATTAGTTTATTTTTATCATTAAGTGGAATTCTACACTAAGGCTATAGTGAAGTTTTAAGCATTTGCCTATAGAGAAGAACATTTGAATCAGATAGGTATAGTAGCTTATGCTTGTAATTACAGCACTCTGGAAGCAGGGGCAGGAGTCTATACCCAGCTTGAGTCGCAGAGTGAGTTCTAGGTCAGCTTGGGCTAGACAGCAAACTCCTGTCTCAAGAAGAGTATATTGAATTAAATTCTTTCTACTTTGGAGCAGTTACAAATAAAGATGCAAGAACACTTATGTGTAGGTTCCTGTATATTCATTTCTGAGGGGAGTGCTCATAAATGTAATTACATAGTAACTGATTGTTTAGTGTTTTTTTTTTGTTTGTTTTGTTTTGTTCTGTTTTGTTTTTTTCCAAGAAACTGCAGGCTGTTTTTAACATAGCTCTAGCACTTTGGTGACAGGCAGTGATATTCAAGTCCAACTTTTATGCATTCTCACTGGCATTTTGTGTCATCACCATTCCTTTATTTTAGCTCTTACTTTATTTGTGTATCATGTATCAGGTAAACATTTGTCATTTCCCCAATGATTAATTAAGCTAGGCATCTTCTCATTTATTTATTTTACATCCAAATAATCCATTTCATGAAATGTCTCTTCAGGTATTTTGGCCATTTTATGTTGGATGGGAATGGGGAGGGGTTTTGAGACAAGTCTCACTAGTGTAGCTCAAACTAGCCTGGATTTATGATGCAGCTCAGGTTAGCTTTGAATTCATGGCAATCTTCCTGACTTGGTCTCTTCGGTGCTGAGATAATAAACATGAGCCAATATGAACAGGTGAATTAGTTTCCCCCCACTGTTGAAGGAGTTGTGATAATTTGCAAATTCTTTTTGGGTAGTAAGACATCATTAGATATGTGAGTGTGATATTTTCTTCCTGGTTGTGACTTTAATTTTCTGAAATGAGATTTTATGCAGCAAGCACTTTTATTTAGATAAGGCCTAGGATTATTTTGTAAATTGTAATTCTTCCTTTTGTAAATGGTAATACTCCCCTTTAGAGATAAATGGTCACTTTTTAGTCCAGGCTGTCCTGAAAATCAGTATGTAAACAAGGCTAACCTCAAAGTTGTGGAAATCCATATTTTTCCAGGGGTCGGGGCAGAGGGAGTTTACATGTGTCACCTGGTTATGTTCTGTTTTGTTTTTAGTTATTATTACCTTATGTAGCCCTGGCTGGTCTCCATCCTACTATCTTATTTAGTCCAGGCTGGGACTGAATTCAGGTGATGACCATAGTTCAACCTCTTAGGTGCATGGGTTACAGGGGTGAGTCACCATATTGGATGGTCTTTAAAATTTCTGATTCATAGAATGGACATTGGAAGAAGGAGAAAACAGGAAACAGGACAGGAGCCTACCACAGAGGGCCTCTGAAAGACTCTACCGAGCAGGGTATCAAAGCAGATGCTGAGACTTATAACCAAACTTTGGCCAGAGTGCAGGGAATCTTATGAAAGAAGGGGGAGATAGTAAGACCTGGAGAGGACAGGAGCTCCACAAGGAGAGCAACAGAACCAAAAACTCTGGGCACAGGGGTCTTTTCTGAGGCTGATACACCAACCAAGGACTATTCATAGATATAACCTAGAACCCCTGCTCAGACATAGCCCATGGCAGCTCAGTATACAAGTGGGTTCCCTAGTTTAATGGGAACAGGGACTGTCTCTGACATGAACTCAATGGCAAGCTCTCTGATCACCTCCCTTTGAGGGGGGAGCAGCCTTACCAGACCACAGAGGAGGACAATGCAGCCAGTCCTGATGAGACCTGATAATCTAGGGTTAGCTGGAAGGGGAAGAGGACCTCCCCTATCAGTGGACTTGGAGAGGGGCATGGGAGGAGAAGAGGGAGGGAGGGTGAGATTAGCAAGAAATGAGGGAGGGGGATAAAGCTGGGATACAAAGTGAATAAACTAATTAATATAAAAAATAAAAATTTAATAAAAATTTGTTTCATACAGTATATTTTGATTGCATTTCTCCCATCCTAGAACCTCCCCACCTCCCAACTCACCCAGATTTATTTTCTCTCTCCCTTTTCAAAAACATACCCACAAACCTGAAAATGAAAACAAATAGACCGTTAAGACAAAAAATGTCAAAAAGGAAACTAAAAGTATTATATATATAAATATATATATATGTATTTATATATATCAAGAAAACATATATAAATATATATGAATATTATATATATATATATACAGATATAAAACAAGAAACAAACAAACAAAAGAGTCTGTTTTGTGTTGGCTAACTTCTCCTAGACCTGGGGCCTTCCCTGGAGTGTGGTTGATATACCTAGGGACCTTACATTGGGAAAAAAAAGATTTTCCCTTTCTCAGCAGGTATCATTGCAAATAGCTTCTTAGTTTTGGGAGGACTTTGTGTCTACTTCCCTTTCTCAGCATTGGAATTTCGTCTAGTTTGAACTTGTGCAGGTCTTTTGCATGCGATCACTATTTATGTGAATCTTATTTTGTTTTCAGGATGCTCCTTTCTTGCAGTTATCTACTACAAACTTTCTGGCTCCTCTTCCCCATGCATCCTTGAGTCTTGAGGTGAGGATTGTGATAAAGACATCCCATTTAGGACTGAGTGTCCCTCACTCTCTGCATATTGTACAGGTGTAGGTCTTTGTGTTAATTCCCATCTATGGCAAGATGAAACTTCTCTGATGTGGGTTAAGTGAGAATCTGATCAATGGGTATTGCAGTATGTCATTAGGAGTCATTTTATTGCTTTATTCCATTAGCAGAATAATAGCATTAGGTTTCTTCTAGGTTCATACATATCTAGTCTCAGGTTCTTGGCAACTTTAGAAGTGTCAGGTATGGATTCCATCTTATGGAGTGTGCCTTAATTCCAATTGCAAAAAGTGGTTGGTTATTCCCATAGTATGTGTACCACAATTGTACCAGTATGTCTTACAGGCATGATGTTGTTGTAGGTTATGGGTTAGTAGCTGGTGATAGTGATGATTACCTTTCTGTTCTAGTAACATGCAGAGTACCTTCCTTTGTGTTTTTGGATTTACTTATTCTCAGTATTTCATGTGTATTAAATCACAATACATGAGATTGTGGCCAGCTTTTTTCATATAGTGATATATTTCAAAAGTTTATCCAGGATATAATACGTATCAATGTTATATTCATTCTTCTGTATTTATTCAGACTATATTGTAATAGCTGGCTTTGAACTTGATATGTAGCTGAGACTGACCTTTAACTCCTGATTCTCCTGTTTCTCCTTCCATGTTTTCAGCTATATGCCATAATGCCCAACTTGTCTTCCCTTTTGATTACAGCCATCCTAATTTTTGTGAAGTGTAATTCTGCTGTAGTTTTTATTTTTAATTCTGTGCATATTGTCTTTGGAGAAATTTCTATTTGCTCTTAGTTGTCATATTATTGAGTTATGGGTTCTTTACAAGTCTACGTACAAGTCCTTTGTCATTGATACATGATTTGAAAACTTTCTCCCCTCTCATTCATGTGTATGGTAGAAGTAAAAATTTAGAAATTTAAAAATTTGAACACAGGGAACTTCCCAGAGACTCATACTCCAACCAAGGGCTATCCATGGAGATAACCTAGAACCCTTACAATGCAGCCACTTCTGATGAGAACTGATAGACTAAGATCAGAAAGAAGGAGAGGAGGACCTCCCCTATCAGTGGACTTGGGGAGGGGCATGCATGCAGAAAGGGGGGGAGGGTGGGACCAGGAGGGGAGGAGAGAGGGGCTTATGGGGGGATACAAAATGAATAAAGTGTTATTAATAAAAGTTAAATAAAAAATTTTTAAAAAATTAGAAATTTAAACTATCAAGAGGTCAACAGAAAATCATAATGTCTTTGTTGGGATGCAAATTTATGCAATCATTGTGGGGTCTCTACAAGATCAGGAAATTATAGTGGGAGAAATGAAAAAACAATATTGTTCAACTCATCATTCAGGAAGCAGAGTACTTTGTGTGATGATGAGGTACAAGGTAAAACCTTGCAATTGGTTTGCTAAAGTGGAGAGTAGGTGTTCTTCGAAGATAATAAAGTGAATCTGTTTAGACTCAATGAGGTCTCAGATGCTTTATAATAATTTGAAAGTATAAGTTCAACATACAGAATTACCAGCCAGAGACACTGAGGCGAAAAGTGTGTACTGTGTAAGAATGATGACCTGAGTTCAGATCCCCAGAACATAAGAGCTAGGTGTGCTGATGTGTGGCTTCTTGCTGGTTATCTATCTATCTATCTATCTATCTATCTATCTATCTATCTATCTATCTATCTATTCATTCATTCAGCTTGACATATACTACACTTACCTAGGAAGAGGGAACCTCAACTGAGTAATTGTGGCCATCACATTGGTCTGTGAGCCTGTGTTGTGGGGACACTCTCTGCATTAATGATTGAATGTGGGTGAGCTCAGGCCACTTCTGGGAAGGTGGTTTTACTTGTATAAGAATGCAAATTGAGCAATGCATTGGAAGCAGGTTGGTAAGCAGTGTTCCTCTACAGTCTTTGTCTTGAGTTTCTGCTCAGGCTTCTTTTCATGATGGAATCAAATCCATAATATGTAATAATCATTTCCTCCCCTCTTGCTTTTGGTCATGACTTTATCACAGCAATCCAGAAGCAAACTAGGGCAGCCTGTAACCCTAGCTCCTGAAAATTGGAGACATGCAGATTCTGGGTCTCACTGGCCAGCTGGTTTAATCAAAACAAGAGGTTCCAAGTTCAGTGAGAGCTTTTCTCTCAAAAAATAATTTGGAGTTCATCGAGACGGCTATCTGAAGTCACTATCTGGCCTCCACAAGTCTATGAGTATACGTGCAGGAATGTGCACCTTCCCCTGTATGTGTACGCGTATGCATACCTACCACTGATGAAATGAATTAGCAGCCAGGTGTGGTGCATACCTCCTGCAATCCCAGGACTTGGGAGGGAGAGTGCGAGTCCAGCCTGACTACAGGACATTTTGTCTCAAAAAGGAAAAAAAAAATAGTAAGGGGAGGTATGGTGGCTAGGCCTATAATCCCAGCACTGAGATCTCAGGTCCTCATGTTTTCACAGCAAGAACATTACCCATGAGCCATCTGCTCAGCCCCTCTGGCTGCTAGCTCTTTTTCTTTCTTTTCCTTGGTTCCCACTCCCTTTCTTTTCTTGAGACAAGAGCTCACTATGTATCTCTGGTTGTCCTGAAATTCACTATGTAGACCAGGCTTGCCTCAAACTCCAGAGATCTGTCTTCTGCCTCTGCCTCCGCAGTGCTGAGATTAAAAATATGTGCCACCATGCCTGGTTTTGACGGCTAATTCTTTATTTATTTATTTTATTTTATTTTTCTTTATTAATTACACTTTACTCACTTTGTATCCCCCCACCCCATGGTTCCCTTCCTCCTCCCATCCCAATCCCTCCCTTCCTCCACCCTCTGCCTGCATGCCCCTCCCCAAGTCTACTGATAGGGGAGGACTTCTTTTCTTTCCTTCCGATCCTAGTCAATTAGGTCTCATCAGGAGTGGCTGCATTGTCTTCTGTGGCCTGGTAATGCTGCTTCCCCCTCAGGGGGAGGTAATTAAAGATCAGGCCAATCAGTTCATGTCAGAGACAGTCCCTGTTCCTATTACAATGGAGCCCACTTGGATACTGAACTGCCATGGGCTACATCTGTGCATGGGTCTAGGTTATCTCCACGCATGGTCCTTGGTTGGAATAGCATTGACTGCTAATTCTTATGTTAAACTTTTTCTTTTTCAAATTACTGTAAGGTTTCTTCATCCCTGACTGAGCTTAAAGGTTTGCTTTTCAAATATGAGACTCATCTGGGCCACAAATTTTTGAAGCAAACAGTAACAGAAGATTAGAGAATTGAGGTGTTGAGTGTCTGGCTAGAAGTAAAATTCATATAGTGTACAAAAGAAGTAAAGGAAACTCTAAAAGACTGTAGGACTAGCAGATTAATATAGAATAGTAGATATGATAAACATAATGTGCCACATCCAATATCCTGTGGACTGTGACAACTGCCTCTCAACCCATACCTGAGCCCCAGGCCTTGGTAGAGAACTTGCACTAAACCGAGTCAGCAGAGCTTGGTGGACATCAGCTGTCTGCAACCTCCCCAAAATATGCTTTTTAGGGGTGCTTGTTCCCACTGAAGGTGTCTTCCAGAGACACTTTGCGACAGTACCACTGAAGGATAATGTCAAGTAAAACTGCTTCCCACCATACAACAAAGAAGCCAGAGCCACAGAAGGTGAGTGTGGGCAAAGCCTGGGAGGGGGGTGGTGAGCAAGAGCCTGTGGATTGAGCAAACAGGAAGTAATCAGCACTATTTCTCCCTCATCTCTCAGTGATAGAACTTAATACTGTGGCAGCTGGCCAAGCAAAAAGCATTTGAAAATCCCAGGTCCATTTTCAAAGAGAATAGGCATGAAGGCCATCTGAGAGGTAGTAAGTACATGTGTCACAGTCAGAGGCAGTATGAGAACTGGGGAACTGAGTGGCCATGTTGTTGAATTGTTTCTAGGGATTTTGAAACCAGCAAGATCTTGCTAGTGCTTGGACTGGAGTAGAGGTTCAAGCTCTTTCTTCAAGTGTGACCTTGGTCTGTCTACATCCAAGTCAGGTGGAGGACGCCACTGCAGGCCTTTCGAGTTCCACCAGATCTTTGTTTGGTGGCAGAGTTCCACCAGATCTTTGTTTTAACAAGTGCCCCAACAGATTTGTGGTTAAAATAATAAATCACTTGTGTATATTTCAATTGCATAAAAGTAAAGGAAATAGTATAACAGGTCCCAGTTTACTCATCAGCCAGCTTTAGCATATGTTCACATATGCCTCATTTCTTTTAGGTCTTTCTGTTTCTAACAAAACACTACCTATTTCAGCTCAAATTCTACCCTCATTATTTTTCTCTGGTGAAACCAGGTGGTTATCATTGTGCACATTCTTATTTGTCAATCACTGCTTTAGGCAATGGAAAGCCTTTGAAAGGTTTTATCTGTTTTTGTTTTTTTTAAAGTAGAGGTTTCACATAACCCATGGTGGCCTCAAACTTACTATGAAAAAAAAAAAAACTTACTATGCAGGCAAAAATGTCCCTGAATTCTTGATCTTCCAGCCCTCACCTCCCAAGTGCTGGAATGACAAGCTTGCACCACCATGCCCAGCTCCTTCATAGATTTTTTTTTTTTTTTTAAAAACAGGATGCCACTAGAAGCATAAAAATGAAACTAGCTAATGGGGGTCTTCTGGAGCATTCATTAGGTTAGGAGGAAGGAGGCAAACCTTTAAGCAGGTAGATCCAGTAGTCCTTCTGGGAGGCCTGTTCAGTTCTTATGACCTCTAGTATCTTGCTCTCATTTTATTTCCCAGCTCATCAGCTCCTCTCTTGTCTTTACCTGCCTTCCAAGCCTTCCTGGGTTCCATGGTTAGTCATTTCATGTAGAAGCTTGGGTGCCCTGACATTATTCTGTAACAAATCGAACTTTCAACTCTCAATGTTAACAAACCATTTCTTTTGCCTTGATGTGAGGTAGGAAGTGATGGGGCCCATCTATCTTACACTAAAGAGACTGGAGTAGGAGCACTCACCATGAGTCTAAAGCCGACCTGGTCTACATTATTGAGTCCCAGGCTAATCAGAACCATGCAATTATAACCTTGTCTCAACAAAACAAAACAAAAGCAAAACATGGCACCTTTCAAACCAGGTGACACTGGACATGAACCTATTTTGGGTTACACTATATTCCTGAAATGACTCACCTGTGCTAGTCATCATAAAATATTAGTACCTCAATAAGTCTGCCAGCTTTTGTTTGCTTATGGGGTAAAATTTGTCTGAGCAATTATGATGCTATCCAAATGATATATAAAATTCTGTTTAAATAGGTCATATTGAGGAAGTAAATTTATCAACAAATGGATTCTGCTTACTTCTATTACATATATTTGGCCATGGGTCAAATCTAATTACAATTTTGAATGATTATATTTATTTTACTTATAACAAGCCAAAACCACAGAGGTAAAATTCTTCATTATAGAACTATAGATAAACCCAACTGCATTACTGAATCTCAAAATGTTGGTGTTAAGAAACCACAGAAAGCAAAATACTGAGGCAGGCAGGCATAGGGGAAAACAAAACAAAACAAAACAAAAAACAAAACAAAACAAAACAAAAAACCTTGACAAAGAATTATGAGACAGACTCTCTAAAGTTGCCATTGAGTTTATTTTCTTTTGCTTATCTACTTCTGGGAATGGGGTCTGCCCTTAAAATTGGTTTGTATAGCCAGTGAGATTCTGTCAGAGAAGATTATTTTTTTTCATTTGTGACTGGTTTTTGGAGATAGATTCTGGATTAGGGATGCAAATGCACACTTTTGAGATTGATAGAAAAAGTTCATGTAGATCAGAGGTTCCCAACCTTCCTAATGCTACAATCATTTAATCCTTGGGGATATAGCTCAGTTAGTAGAATGCTTGTCTAACATTCACAGAGTCCTAGAGGCAAGCCCAAGCACCCCATAAATTCGGTTTGGTGCTGCATGCTATTAATCCTAGCACTTGGGTGGTAGAGGTCGAAGAATCAGTACTACAAATCCAGCCTCAGCTACATATGGAATCAAAGTCAGCGAGCTACATAAAACTGTCCCTATCACTATCACCATCAAAAAAGCACAAGGGGAGGGCAATTAAAGGATTACGAGACTTAGCAGATATCATATATAATTAACTGGATGCCTCACATGTGTGAGGAGAGGTAGTGAGGGCCTGCATTTGCAATCATAGAGCTATGCAATTAAACTTTGCCTTATCATAACTTTCTCTATACATATTTTACCTGGTGCTGAAATGTTTGAGAAAATGTGGTCATACTACACAGAAATTTATGATAAGGCAACATTTAATAGTTCTTCTGAATTCATGAGTGGGACTGGCTTTCAGATCACTGTTTTAAACGCAGAGTGTTTGTTGATGGAGGAAAGTGAATTTTTCAGTCTGTATTGTAGACAGAGAGAGTACAAGTGCTCTTTTGTTCTCAGTGCTCTGTCTCCAAGAATATTTCCCTCATTTTCTGTGACTGTGTCTGAGCCTTTGCTAACGGTACTGCAGCTGGACTGTGGAGTGGAACCAGGTCCAGAAAAAGAATTGCTAAAGAATGCAAGTAAACAGGATGTCAGATGTTATCCTTAGCCTATTTCCCTAAACATAGCTTTTTGGCTACAAAGTAAAATGCCATTCTTTCAGCTTCTGCTAATATGCAGTGATGGCTGACAGCAGGGAAAGTCCTCATTTGCTTGGCAAGTTGTCACCATGCGACTCCACGTGTTCTGTAAGGAAGGAATGATCACAACACACACACACACACCATCTCTGAGATTGTCTGAGGACATCTGGCCATTTCTGGGAGGAATTTTCTCAACCCACCGAAGTCTTTGAGCACTGTTTTACCAGCACAGCTCCTGATGAGGCTCAGATCTGTCTGACCTAAGAGCCAGTTGACATCTTCCTCCTGACAGAAGCCAGATTTTTCACTGTGACTAGACAGTAGTGATAGTGTTTTCCCAGTCTGCCCCATGCATGTCTTGTTTCACGGTTCTCTAAAGTGCAGGCTCACTCCAGTTTCCACGAGCACTTTCTTATTTTTCTGCCTCCCCAGCATCCTCCTCACTTCCTTTCCTTACAGCTTCTTGCACTGTTGTACGTGTTCAAAGAAAAAAAAAAAACCTAAAGAATTTGTTTTGCAGGTTTCGAAAAAAAAAAAAAAAAAAAAAAAGACAGTGATGTTATCCCAGGAGTTTGTCCCAGAACTTTCATCCATTTCCATATCTTTGAGTATGATCTCTGTGGTTTAGAAATCCCACGTTCCACTGTTGTCAAAGAAAAGTTGCCTTCAACCTTTGCCCTGCAAGCACCAGAAGAGAGCTCATAAAAAGGAAGACAGCAGCAGATGCAATCACGGATGTGGCTTAGTCCTCACGGCTGCCCCGAGAGCTGTTCAGAGTGTACGAGCCTCAGCCATGAATCCAGAAGAGCACGTCGTTACATGGCTTATATCTTTGGGAGTTTTAGAGTCTCCCAAAAAGACTATCTGTGATCCAGAGGAGTTCTTGAAGTCCTCACTGAAAAATGGGGTAGTGTTGTGTGAACTCATCAACAGACTTGTGCCTGGCTCGGTGGAGAAGGTAAGGTTGTTTTGCAGTGTCTTTGGGATTACTTTCCACCACAGAGCAGCAATAATATCATTCTTGAGATTTTTCTATTGCCTGGTCATGGGAATCCCCTACTCTAATGTCTTTCTAAAAGCTAGGCAGTCCTTCTTACTGTCCTTGTCTTTGAAAAAGTCAGAAAATGAAATGTTATCCTTCAGTAATTGGTCCCCAAATGTTACCCTCCTAAAAACCTGCCACACGACTGGCAATCAGGGATGGGAAGACAACCTTGCTGTATTGTAGAGATGCACATTAAACTTTCCTGTGCACTTTGGGCATGTTTTGAACTTTGGGTATACAAGTCTTGAAATAATGTAATAATTTGTAGGAGATCTTTCCTGTATTCAATAGTTTGCCTAAAAATTGATGCAGATTGCCTTTCAAAAAAATTCATTGAAGAAAAGTCTATTCACAAAAGTCAATTTTACATACCCCCCCCACACACACACAAAAAGAGAAACCAAGTATATGAATTGAATGCAATGAGCATTCAAAGTGAAACTAAACCTTGCTAAAAAAAATATCCAAGATTTTTGAGGTTAGAAGCCCTGTTATGACAGTGGCTGGCTTCTAAAGTAGGCACTTTTGTGCCATTAAAAGTAGAGTTCTTCTGATTCTTTTCCCAAAGTCATTTCATTGTAGCATGTGACAATAAAACTCTTTTTGCCTTTTGGAATTAGTTCTATTCTTATGGAAGAGGTAGATTTACTTATAATTTTTTTCAACTCGAGAAACAGTGATTAAACTGGTGATAAGATACAGTGAGGCATGATAAAATGTAGTGCTCAGCCATAGTGAAATCTAATATCAACAAAAGATCATGAGGAGTAGAGGTAGAAAATCAGAGTGGCCTTCTTGGGTGAAAGCAGCAAATATATGTGTGTGTGTGTCTTGGGGGGGTGGGTGTCTTAGTCTCTCTGATTTGCTATCCCCACAACTGAGCTGAAGGCACAAGAAAACCTTTTAAAAGTAGAAACGGCTTGGGTACATTTGAAACAAAAAACAACAGTTTGAGCACTTGCATCACTTCCTTCAGTGGTTAGTCCTCTTCCTGGATAGAGAGCGGGGCTGCCCTGTGTCTCCCAGAGCCGAACATACATAGTTCTCAACAAATGATGATGCTGGTCTGTTTGTCATGGCTTAGCAATCTCCAAGTGACATTTGGCTCTTTCTCTAGTATTGTCTGGAGCCCCAAACTGAAGCCAACTGCATCGACAACATCAATGACTTTCTGAAAGGATGTGCAACCCTTCAAGTGGAAGTAAGCTTACCTGCCTTGTCTTTCATTTTACCATTATTTTCCGCTCGGCTAATAAAATCTGTCTGCAAAAGTACACGATTGATTTTCACTCTTAGTAGCCACAGAAGTAAACAGAGGTAGCTATTTAGACAAACCAGAGCTGAGACCCCCCAATGATGCATTCCTACCGTTTTTCAGAACTCAATTCTAAAAAAAAAAAAAAAAAAAAAAGAAAGAAAGAAAGAAAAGAAAAGAAAATAATTATTAGCTGGACATGGTGGCACACCTGGAAGATCAGAATTTTAACGTCATCCTTGGCTACATATTTAAGTTTTGGCCCAGTTTGGGTTACCTGAAATACTATCTCAAAAATAAAAAAGAAAGAAGGAAAACCAGAACTGTCCCCAAAAGAATAAAATAAAAATTACAAAACAACAAAATACAAAATTGATGACTTTCAAATGCAGCTTCTCTTCAGGTGACTGAGCTCTTTGTGACTGTACTTCCTTATTAATGGGAAACAAAAGCCCCCGCAACAGCAGAGGGTCTCTGCAAACAGCAGTAAAAGTAAACTTAAAAAAAAATGCCCCCCCCATAAAAAAAAAAAAGAAATGGCACAGTGCCAACTGATCAGCCCTGAAAACATACATACAAGTAACATTATACGTACTGAGCAGATTATATTTAGGAATGTACATGTATATGCATATACATATATCCATATGGTAACAATTAATGGAAAAAGAGGGCATGGATTTTAAGTAGAGTAGGGAGGGGTATAAAGGAGGACTTGGAGGTAGAAAGGGGAAGGGAAATTGTTGTAATTTTTTTCTTTTTATAAATTCTTTATTAATTACACTTTATTCACTTTGTGGTTCCCTCCCTCCTCCCATCCCAATCCCTCCCTTCCTCCACCCTCTGCATGCATGCCCCACCCCAAGTCCACTGATAGGGGAGGTCTTCTTTTCCTTCCTTCTGATCCTAGTCAATTAGGTCTCCTCAGGAGTGGCTGCATTGTCTTCTGTGGCCTGGTAAATGCTGCTTCCCCCTCAGGGGGAGATAATTGAAGAGCAGGCCAATCAGTTCATGTCAGAGAGAGTCCCTGTTCCTATTACAATGGAACCCACTTGGATACTGAACTGCCATGGGCTACATCTGTGCAGGGGTCTTAGGTTATCTCCATGCATGGTCCTTGGTTGGAGTATCAGTCTCAGGAAAGACCCCTGAGCTCAGATTTTTTGGTTCTGTTGCTCTCCTTGTGGAGCTCCCTGTCCTCTCCTGATCTTACTATTTCCCAATTATTTCATAAAATTCCCTGCACTCTGCCCAAAGGTTGGCCATGAGTCTCAGCATCTCCTTTGATAGTTTGCTTCCTTAATTTTCTTAAAGTAGCTGGTTATGATGATGCAAAAACTTTAATATCAGCACCTGGAGGCCGAGGCAAGTGGGTCTCTGTAAGCTATGTAGGCCAGCCAGGACCACAACCTGAGACCTTGTCTCAAAACCAGATTTTGCTTTTTTTTTTTTTTTTTTTTTTTCCTTGAAGCTCACCTTAGTCTAAAGCTACACCTGTGTCAGAATGTTTTATTCCAATCTTTCACCCACCTTGAGGCTCATGGTCCATGTGGCCTCAGAGCATGTGATATGCGTTATAGAATGCTCTCTACTGTGGAACAGACCGTGAAATTTTCATGTTTAATTTTTCAAATAAAAATACAGTGAATTTGCCAGTGATTTCTGTGCTGTATCAGCCAGAAGGTGTACTGTGCTTCTTTGCAGTTCTAAGAATATTGGATGGTACAGAAACACCTCCTGCTGCTGCCACGATTGGGGTTTTTCTGATAATTATTCCTTTTTAAACACAAATGCTTAAAATAGTTTTCCACTTCGGTTAGAAATTTTACTAAAGAGTATATCAAACTGAGGTGATTTGAACGTTGTAATAAAAGAATATTGGATATTATGGTTATTACATTCCTTTTGTAGCTTCATAGATGTGCTAGAGTCTGTGTCAGTACCCGTGTCCATGTGTGTGTGCGTGTGCGTGTGCGTGTAATGTATGCACATTGTGTGGGTACATGTGTACGCTAGAGGTCAATGTTGGTGTCTTTTTCTACTGCTCTCCAGGTTACTTAAGCCATTTTGAAACAGTCTATATTCCTTATATGTAAACATGAGTTTTAGAATTATCTTGTCCATTTCTTTTGTTTTCTTTGTTTCTTTCTTTTTGAGATAAAATATCTCACTGGACTTGAAGCTTGCTGAGCTAACCTTACACCCATGTCAGAATATCTTATTCCAATATTCCATATTTTTTCAGTTTGAAACGGCTGTCACCCACCTTGAGGTTCATGGTCCATGTAGCTTCAGAGTATGTGACATGTTTTGGATAAATTGGCTTGTCAACAAGACCTTATCTCACCCAGCATTAGGATAATAGGCAGCTGCTGACATACTCGGCTTTTACATGGGTGTTGGGAACCCAAATTTTGTTCCTCATGTTTACACAGCAAGCATGTTACCCACTGAGCCATCTCACCTCAGAAAGTTACTTAGTATCACTGTGCTCTTGTTTCCTCATCTGTGTGATGGGGACTAACAATTTTTACTGCAGTGGACTTTTGACTTGTGTGTGTGTGTGTGTGTGATATGACTCTATGTTTTGTCTGCAATGTATGTTTGTGTACCAAATGTGGTTTAGTGCCTGCAGAGGTGGGCATCAGATCCCTTGGAACTGGAGTTGCAGATAACTGTGAGCTGGGACCTTAACCTGGACCCTGTGCTAGAGCAGCCACTGCTCTTAACTGCTGAGCCATCTCTCCAGCTCAGCTGCAGAAGATTTTAAAATCAATTTTTACAGTTAACATTCAGTGTTGTGCGTATCATTACAGAGAACTATTTTAAGGGTCGGGTGAAAGAATGCATCTACCGCTCTTAATGTATCACTACATCTAAGTATGACTCCTCCAGCTCACTGTTACCTTATGACTAGGTGCTCTTTGCACTGTCTGCGTAAAACTGAGCCACAATGACTCACTCACAGAGCCCTCAAGGAAGGCAGATAGAGTCACCCCAGAAGGAATGAGACTGAAAGATGAGCTGGAAAGCACGGAGCAGCCACCAAGTATGAGGACTTCCAGTCTCAAAGCTTCCAGGTAGCTGAAAAGCAGACCTGTACAGAAGTATTTTCAAAGGTCATGGGAGGGAGAGGGAGAAGGAAAAGGAGAGGGAGAGGGATAGAGAGGTATAACTCAGCACTAAGTGCTTAGAACAGTGTGTGGCATAAAATATGCCTGGTGGATCTCAGTTAACTCTCTAAAGCTCCAAAGGTGTGAAAAGCAAGAAGAGGGTTTGGCTCTTTCTTAGGGCACACTATTATTTCTCTGAAGAAAGGGTGGCGGTTTGAATCAGTAAGTTTGCGAAACTGCAACACTTAATGGGAGAGGCGGTGACTGAATATTGGGTTCAGAGGTGTGGGGGACCACACTTCAGATTTGTGATCACTTGGTCTGTCCAGATATCCTTTCTGTTGTCTGCATATATGAGAGTTCTGGGTCTCAAGTGGTTTATACATGTAATAACAGAGAAATCTAGAAAGAAATTACTTTCCAGCATTCATACTACCCTTTCAAACATTTAAAAAATATTGATAAAGTCCTATTTGTTTTTTGTTTGTTTTACTGTGTCTTATTTTTTTTTTTTTTTGTGCATGTGTCTGTGACAGTGTGTGTGGAATTTAGAGAACAATTTTCAGTAGTTATTTCTCACTGTCTGCCTTGTTAAGGCAGGGCCTGTCTCATTTCTGCTGTGGGGGTGTGCCCTCTAGGCTAGCCGCTCTGAGAAGCTTCCCAGCAATTTTCTCCTCTTTGCTTCACACCTCACCGTAAGATTGCTGGGATTACAGATGTGCACCAAGGCGTCTAGCTTTTTTTAATTAAAAATGTATTTTCTATCTGTGGGTGGTTTGCCTGCATGTATATTTGTGCACCACTTGCATGCCTCCTGCTCATGGACTGTAGACAGAGGTGCCAGATCCACTGGAGTTACAGATGGCTGTTGTACCACCATGGGAGTTGTGGGAGTTGAATCCAGGTCCTCTGTAAGAGCAACCAGTGCTCTTAACTACTAGGCCATCGGGTTTTGGAGATCCAATTCAGCTTAGCATGCTTACCCAGCAAGCATTTCTACCCATGGAACAATCTCTCCAACTCTATTTTTTAACATTGACCTTCAGTGGCATCTGGGAAATGCTTGTACAATCAAACGTCATGAATCCTTGTTTTCCTCTAAGAACGTTATCATTTGGCTCTCACATTAGAGCCTTTGATCCCTTTTAAGTTGATTTCTATATATGGTATATACTATATCATTATATATATATATATATATATATATATTCCAAATTAATCTTTGAAAAAATGCATGTGCCATAAATTACAAATGGAGGTTCCTTTCTTCCACTATGTGGATTTTAGTGATTGAACTCAGGTTGTCAGACTTGGCAGCAGGTGCCCTTGCCCACTGGGCCATTTCATTGGCCCATGTTAACTCTTCTAAATCTTGACATGCAGTTTTCTAATCTCCATTTACCGAAAATACTATTTCTCTCCCCTTTGGCTAATTAACACAGCTTTATAGGGATTTTTAAAGTCAAAATGTGTGAGTCCTTCAATATGTTCTTAGTTTCAAAAACATTTTGGAGTATTCTCAATCCTTGACTGTCTCCTGCCTGTATTTCTTTTCTCTTTTATTTGTTGATTTACGTAATTATTTATTTTTGAGACAGGCTTTCATTTTAAAGTCCTGGTTGGTCTGGGAACTTGCTATGTAGAGCAGGCTAGCCTTGAACTTGTGACAGTCTTTCTGCCTTTGCCTCTTGACTGCTGGGATTATAGGTGTGTACCACTATGACTATCTCTATTAAAAACAGCCAGCTAAAACCTTGACAGAGTGTGCTAAACTTACAGATCTCTCTGAAGTGACCAAGTTTTTTAACCCTTGAACATAGCTATCTTTCTACC